ATAAAATGCAAGTTGTATTACTAACTTATTGTCGCGGTTGTGGAGTAATAATGCGTGACATATATGACCATGTATGGTGACATCGTGACAAGTGTAACGCAATCATACCTTCAGTACTTTCCACATCGTATTGATAACTGCGAATATTTCTTTGGGGGATAAAAGATGAAGAACGCCACCAATGCGTGACAGAGGCGCGGGCAGCCAGTCACTCTTTATGAAAATAATTACAATAACCGTGTTAAAAATAACAATAAACATGAACAAAACAGAAAATGTCGCAGAGGAGAGCAGAACAGAGCAGAGCAACAGAATATAGAAGGTAGCAAATCTAAAATATCAAATCATGTACCTCCACCATCACTTGCATAATGTACTGCGTGTCACGGAAGAGTTCTGAAGATTGCGTTACCATTTTGTCACGACATACTTCCCAGCTGGACATCACGGTAGCAAGTAAGCTCGACAACAATGGAGCACATTTACACAACGATGACGCTCCTGCAATTCCAATTATCTCAGTTATTGACCAAATAAACTATTTTTTTTTTWATTTTATGAGATTTGAGTAATTCTGAGTCCGTGATTTGCACTTCCACACGTCTCCGGATTCAAWTTTTTATCGAATTCCCTTGGACGGAAGTAGCCTCGTCTGAAAATCAGGCTKGRATGRAAGGTGCAAACACAAAGAAATGTTTTCAAATTCAAACATATATTGACACGTGATGGCGACGCCTCCTAGATGTATGCGTAGGAAATTTCCAGGTGTTTATTTTTTATGACATTCGTTGTTTATTATTATTGAAGTTGGGCTCCCTGTGGTTTACCTTGAGACACAAGCAGGAGTAGCCACCATAAGACTGGGTTCCTGTCAAACGTGTTTCGTATTCTAAGATCCCTGGAAACAAAAAAGCTATAAATTTATATGATATTTAATGTGTAGAAGAAATGTGTAGGGAAAGGGGGAAGGAAGAGGAGAGGGAGGGCCTGTTAAAAGCCTACTATAATTCAACTGCCCTTTCTACCTTTCAACATTGAACTTAAGTGTTTCTTCATCTGGCCATTCTCCAGTATACAGCACCATCTCAGGACAAACCATTTCCATCAGAAGCAAAGCCACTTGATCTGTGTTTGATGTTATAATATGACTTTCTTCAGCAGTGTCACTCCTACAAAGGGTTACCAACGTATCCATGTAGACCTGACTGCTTGGTAACCATGCCTGCGGCAAATGCATTGTGGGTTACTACAATCTTCCTAGGTATGTAACTGCAATGTTTGAAAGCTAACTGCTACTTTTGGTGCTTTTGGTACTGTCAATCTAAAGTCAGAACTTAATCAAGTTACTTTGAGATTGATCCCTAAATTGGGAGTGGCCTCAAACAGATAGAATTCCAGGTTTCTGTTAAATGCTCTTTTTCAGTTTTGAGTGTCTCAAACAGTAACGAAATGATTGATAATCGGTAACTTTAATTCTCAAGCGAGAAGAAGAAAACATGACCTGACGAAGTTGACCAAAATGGCAATGGAACGTAGTTGGAAAAACACTGAACTAGGTGAGCTGAATAGCTCAAGTAGCCAAAACAATATTAATGAAATGGTGGGAAGCATTCAGCCATATTTGAGTTTGCATATTTACAAAAATTGCAAATATTAAAAGGCAAAATGTGGTTTGTTTCTACAATGATAAACAATCACAATACTTCTCACCTGACTTGGTTTATCATCTTGTTTTTTAGGAATTCCATTTCTGTTCTTGTTCCCAATCACCCCAGTAAAAAACAGTGATGAGGGACTGAGCGCTAGTCGTGAGGAAATATGGGGATTCTGGTTGTACTCRAGYAGCGAGGCTTGATTACTTTGCTGWATTTTGCTTTTGTCTTTTTCTGTTGACAAARTGAYGCACAAGAATTGTTAAGCCTGGTTTAAACTAGAAATAACAAGTTTCACAAAGTTCCTTATATATAGCCCTACAGAGAGAATCTGACTTGTTACATGTTTATACCAAATGGACTAAAATACAAGGATTACACTCTACCTTGTGGCTTTGCACCCAACAACTGGATATTCTCCTGTATAAAAAAAGATTACAACTTAGTAAACATAATAAAAAAATTGACTGTTGGGCGTAATAATCATTATAAACCTTCCAGAAAAGAATGTCCAAAAAATGACAACCTATTCCAGAGCAGATGTGGAAGCCAAAAAAACATACCAGACACTATTCTGTAGTAACAAATAGTTCAAAAGCACAGTGTGAATAACAACTTGAGGTATTCAATGCCGATGCATGAAAGAAAATTGAAAATGAAGAGAACTTGCCTTTTCAAGAGTACTTTCAACTAGAATTCTTATCAGTAACAATCTACAGTCTTCATCTTTTGATAATCTTGTTAGCATCTTTGTGCAAAGTTTGATTCTTTCCATTATATCTGTCAAATATAAAGAAAGTGCTAAAACAGGTTTTACAGACTGGATAAACTGGTTCTAACAGCCATGATTAATTCTCATTTGTGTGGGTCCTAAAACAAGTTTGAACATACTGGATAAACTGATAAACCTGTTTGTAAAACAAGTTTTTGTGTATCTGCAGAATTCAGTGCCTTAATTCATTCATGCTTTTCCTAAAATTCACATTTTTTTACCTGAAGAACATGTTTCTACTTCCACCAATTCTCTGAGCTGTTTGAACAGAAATGAAGTAACATTTCTGCAAATGTTGTTTTTCAACGATACTGTAGGGAAGATGTCCTGTTCATATGCTAGTAACAGTGACAGTGTTTTGGACGCTACGGGATTGTTGGAGTGGCTAAGGAGAGGGATTAGGTTTGCAGTGTGTACTAGTAGCATATCTGTGATTTGACACCTGAAAAATTTAAAAAGGAAAAACAAATGAAAAAGAAATGAATGAATAAGTGAACGAGTGAGCATAGGTGCCAAGGTAGGGAGAGCTAGGAAAGCTAGAGCCACTAGGTTTTTTTTTTAAACCAAAATAATACATCTAGTATTGAGCCTCAACACCCAGTAAATAAGCAGCTGAAATGACAAAATGTGTCCAAAAAATACTTTGCAACCTATCAACCCTTAAATAAGGACGCCCTTTTTACATACATGTTTATGAAATTGAGTGCCTCTTTTGTGTACATGCAGGAGGTAACTATTATTTAGTCTTAGAAGAAATAGTACTGCATTCTTTTTCATACCTTGGAGCTTGGAATACTCCATTTTTCTCTGCTAAGATAAGCTGATGTATATTGTCAAGAATATTCTTCACCTATAAAAAACATGGATGGAAGAGAATAAAAATAAGAAAAAGAATAGTGTGAGATGGGAAGAAAGAGAAGTCAAGAAAAAAGGAGGGAGAGTATAAAAAATGTTACCTCTAACAGGAAAATGTGTTAATTAAAGTCCATTTTAACAGTCATTGATGCTTTATTCAAGACAGCTAATGCTTGTTGAAGCATCAAGAAAAACACTTTCCTCTGTAAAATGTTTAATGCTTTTCCAAAGCAGGGAGTSAAAAWAGGATGKATGGRAAAGAATAGAAGAAAAGCTTACCATCAAAGGCTTGGCAGTTGCACTGGAACAGTTCACTGACATSAAGCATTTCTTAGTAGTTTCTTGCAACACATGGGGATAATAAAACTCTACTTCACATTGCATTTGTACAAAAAGATTCAAAGATTCATTGGTTTTACTATGGGYTAAGATGAAATTCAAAATCTGTATTGCTGTGGTTTCTCCACTGTGGACACAAACAAGAACCAGCATACGGAAAATCCATCCAAGCCTGTAACCAAAGAATACTACATGTAATTAGAGCATCAATGACATTTAGAAAAGAGGTCTGAGAGAGGGAACAACATCTCAAATGCCACTAAGTTTTCCTTTCTTTTTACAGTGTACAGCTTATCATGATCAGCAGGGAAGAAAAAGAGGGTTAGGGATGGAGGCAGGGGAAAAGGGTGTAGGGAAAGAGGGAAGAAGGAACGAAGGGAGAAAGAATTGACAGATAAAGGAAGGGAGAAATCGAGAAAGGAAATGATGGAGGAAAAAAGGAGGAATTGAGGGAAGCAGAATGGATAGACAAAAGGAAGGAAGAAAGCAGAAAAAGAGAAGATTTATTACCTTGAAATGAATGAATGAAATACAGGATAAATGAATAAAAGAATGTGTGTAATAAATTTAGAATAAAGGAATATTCACAAACCTTTTGCCCTGGGCTTGGAGCAATAGTTTAGTAAGTTGAACAGCATATGAAGACATCTCCAGTAAAAATGCACTCTCTGTAGARGTGGAGACAAGTGGTGCAATGGCWGCTTTTTGAGTAAAMAGTTTATGTCTCTGGCTGATCACATCCTGTAGCTTCATCAATAAACCTTCCTGAAGTAAAAGATTATAGATTATAGTTATAGCATGATTGTGGACTAAAAGGCGGTCCATTATAATCTGATTGTGGACTAAAAGGCAGTCCATTATAATCTGATTGTGGACTAAAAGGCAGTCCATTATAATCTGATTGTGGACTAAAAGGCAGTCCATTATAATCTGAAAGAAAGCCCTACCATTACATAGGAACATGCTTTTTGAACTTCAAGATTGGCAGTAGGTATGTCCATCTTATCTGAGATCAAAGACAATCACAAAATCATAAAAAAGCAAGCAAACAAGCAAGTATGCAAGCAAGCAACTAAGCAATCTATTAACATTTTTTTCATATGACAAATATTATTATACTTGCTTCTACTTTTTCAGAAAATTGTACATGTACTACAGTTGACAATTCTTGACTTCAAACCTTATAGCCATACCTTGGTCTTCTTGAGGGGTACAGTTATCCAGTATAAAACAGAATATAGTGTAAGCTCCTGTTTCTATGTTGGTTATAATATCCACAAGTGCTGGGATTAAGCTAGAAAAAAAGGAAAATTTGTATAAACATTGACTTTGGTAATTTTTAGCACTGTGTTCTAGTTCAAATATTGATTCATACTGTTATGAATTGCTAARACAAGGAGCACAAGGARTTWTGTTMTGYTATGTTTTCTATGCTTATGGTGGAGGTGACTATTCAATCTTTACCTTGACTGCTTATGATAAACAGTTGACCTGAGAATTGACTGGTCATAGAGTTGTACTAGTACACCAGGAGATACTACAAAAGACAAAACATCAATAATGTACACTGTACAACAAGGAGATCAGAGATTCTAACACACAACTCATTGCAAATGTTTGACTTTAGGATGGTGGAAGGAGGAAAACAGGCATACATGTATATAAAGCAAGTGAAGAAAACAATTAGGGAAAGAACCAGCTTACAAACACAAACCACAGCCAGAATGAAACGTGGACCATAGTACTGAAAGCTTAGCATTTTATTGTAGCTACTGAACATCCCTTGCTACTGATACCTCACAATAACGTATAAACAAGTCAAAGGTGGTAAGCATGCTGTACACTTACAGACTTCCACAAAGTCAGTTAAAGTTCCCTTGAGCAGCTCAGGAGACAGAGATGCAATGTGTAGAAGAAATGGTATTGTGGCTAGCTGTTCTCTTTTGTCCTTGTCACCCTTTGTTTCTTGTGCAAGACTTGCCTGAAGATAAAATGGTTATTGTTGTAATATGAAACTAGYAGCATCATCTAGAGAGATGTTATTGATATTGTTTAAAACACTACAGCTTTGTTTAATTTTAAATGTGTTGGGCTTTTTTACTTTGATCTGCATCTAGATTAGTCTGTGCTATGGAATCCTCAAGGCTTTGAAAATGTCTATGTATACATTAATTGTAAGACTGTGAGGTTTGTGTGTACTTACATGAAACAAAGCCAAAAGATTTGTCTTAATTTCAGCTGCAAATTGGATAGACAAATACCCCAAGACTTGGACAATAGTTGAGACTAATAAAGACTTTTCTTCACTCTCATCTCCCAGAGTCTTAGCATAGTCTCTCAAGGCAGTGTTTAGAAGTTTCTTGATAATAATATCGTGAAAGTGGGATACAATATGTGCAACAACCCAATCAAGGTGTGGTGAGTACTTCATGGAGATTTGYAATAGTGCTTCCATACAGTTATCTGGATCAGTAACCACACTATAAACATAMGGAAAATGAATATTTCATGAYGTCAAGACTGTTTCCCACCCCTCCCSTGTGGGARAAGGGATAGGGAACATTWGTACAAAAACTCTRTTGTGACACCAAGGAAGCTTCATCTTAGGYGAAAACAAAAGAGCTTTTCTATCACAAGCAAGAATYCATTGTTWTGTTTCCCARGTGGAGTTTRTAAGACCCAGGCTACACACAGGCAGCCCAACCATTAATGGTGTTTCTCAATGAATGWTGTGGCTGTCKRTGTGCTAYAACTTACAGTTTTGAGCAACACAATGTGCCTATTCCCATCAACATYTGAACTGGAGGAAACAGCATCCACTTATGAAAGCCCTCACTGAATGACAATGTGAGACTGACACCTCTTTTTTGGTCGAATTTGGATATCAAGTCACCAAGCAGGTTCAAGCACCACTAAAGAAATTTGAAAGTGATGGAAGTTAATTTTAGTCACCCTAAGAGCATTATCAACTAGAATAATGGCAAAACAAGTTTGGGATGATTGGGACGATCATATTGAACATTAATCCTAAGAAACGAAGGAATTATCATAATGTATCACCTAGATTTTGTACAATAAAAGTTTCACAGTTTACATATGAGAGCACTATATAGAGCCCTATTTTGTATTATTTATGATTAATACCTCACAAATAAGTAGAGCCCATGATGATGGATTGGTATTGACAAATTCACTCACAACATCACAGATACTATGTAAAGCATTGTCAAGGTCTGCATCTACAACTTCTGGTAAACTCCCAGACCCTGAATCAGTAATAAAATTGCACAATAWCTTTAATAATAAAAAACAACAATGACTGAGAAACTTGTGGAAAGGCACAGGTAGCCCGAAAACGCCAATTTGAGGACTAATAATGGCAATATGTACTCGGTTTAAAACATACACTTTCTCGAAGGCTAAGTTAATGATAATTAATTTTCTGCCGATCAATACCTCCAAGTTGTGCTTTTCTTTCCATTTCGACCATAAATTTGTTCATCGATTCGTGGAACGCTCCACAAAGCTGCTCCAATACAGCATGCCTGGCACACGGAAGGGACTGAAGCAAAACTATAGCGCATTGTATCTTATCAATGCTGCTCACAGTTGAAGGCGGCTTGCTCTCCCCACACCCTGACAGAAAGGCGTTCAAATTCTCCAAAATATCCTGAAATGGAACRCGAGAAATTTAGATGCTTTTCTTAGTAAAAYACATGATTAACGAAGCAAAGTGTCCACTTAATTCGTAATTTGCAATKTACTTTGTATTACAGTGTTCATAAGTTAAAGTATGCACGTGTTTTTCAAACAGAAATGACTATTTTTCATACCTTTTCTTGTGTCTCTCCTCCACTTGCGTCCGCCATCTTGGAYAACTAGTTCCCAGTACGACATGGACAAAAACTACAAAGGAGCTCCAATAGTCTTTACAAATAAAACAATGTTTTTAAATCTGCGTTTACGACGTTTGCATTTTTTTTTTCAAAAAATACGTTTTATTTTTTTCATATGGACACGTAAACTAGACCTAAACCAGACAAACCAGGCTAGTCGAAAATCGGGTTGTCGATGCTAAATAATACATGGGCTTCCTGTGTCGATACCTCGTGATGCAAACATGGCGTGCAAGAAAGTGTTTTCGTTGAAATTTTCCCCTTAAAATGCAATCTTTTTAAGACTTAAAGATGTTTAGGTAGTCCCATTGAACGTGTAAGCAAATCAACAATGTTTGGAGGCAAAAGAACCCTTGTTTTTGTTCTGCTATCCGTCGGAGCAGGAGGTTTACTTTGGTTGAGCGCAGTTTACTTCCGACGAAAACGAAGGCAACGAACTGCAGCCATAGCTGAGAGTGATTTACAGGCTGAACAGAACGAGGAAAAACCCAGGGGAACCTCCCGAAAAATACCAGGTTAGTAAAATTCCGTTTAAGACGAAATCTCAGATATCAGCTGCTTTTAATAATAGCTAAAGTAGCCTTTAAAATAGCACGCGAGTGAACGCATGAACAATTTCTTTAATTCTCTTTCATTTCAATCGTTGTGAGTCTTGCAATTTGCTTTCTGTGCAAAAAATTAAACTTACTGGGCCATAACATTGAACAAAATGTCGAGGAAATCTTATGATTGTTGAGCTTGCCTTGAATTTATTTTGATTGTGCATGATAATAAGCTTATTAAGCTTACTTATATTTTAGTTTTCGTAATAAGCTTATAACTTAAGTTAATGTATTCATCTGATAAACAAATTTTACTGCGAATTATCATAGATTTATATGCACTGTGTCTGCCAATTTCGTATTTGCATGTTGGATAAGGAAAGACTTTGCTAGATTAAAGTATTTCAGGTGGCAATTAAAAAGATTTTAAAGGTGTTACTTTTACCACAAAACAAGTCACCAAGAGTTCCAGCTGTCTTGATTTGGGATTTGAACATGAATTTTAATGAGTTAATACATTCATGGCATGAACTAGCTGTATTACTCTACCTGATGTTCATACAATTTTTCCAGAAGACTGTGATTGTGTTAACGTTTGGAATTTCCTGTCCTGGGCCCATGCTGTACTAAACTAATTTTATTATTCATTGGAGAAGGATTTATCCGAATAGCGCTGTTCACACTCAGCTACTGTCCCAGATATATGAATTTAATTATTTTTAATACTAACATTTCTTTATTTTATAATAAATGTATTTTGTGTGGCCATGCAAGATTACCATTCAGAAAAGAGAGTTCTCTATGATCAGTAACGTTATAAATATGACAATAGGGGTGGGGTTAGAGGGTTGGGCAGACTTATAGAGATTTATTCCTCTTGGTATTTTGTTTTTGCACATAAATTTTCAGTTGGGAAAAGTCTAAAATTTTGATTTTTGTTGGGGGGTAGGGAAGGAGAGAGTGACAAGTGCTACTCCATCATTCTTTTTGACTCAACATATGTGATTTAAATGACCCAATGAACCCAAAATAATCATTGCTGTTTCACTGTTTATAGGACTGCGAACAAGATCTCAACTTAAGTTCAAATCTTCTTTAAAAGACTCTAAAACCAGCAATGARGCTTCAAGAGGAGGCCTGAATGATGCAATTGATAGAAATTCCATGATACCAGATGGRAAGTCTTCAGATGAAAGTTCAGGACTGTCAGAGTCACCACAGAGTGTTCAAGATTGCATTAGCCAAGGTAAATGTGCACAGTCTGCTGGGAACCCTGTTTCATGCCAAACACAGGGAACCCAACAGCAATGCATTTTGATCTAATTTATTTATCTTATTTAGGACTTGATGAGTTCAAGTTTGCTCTGGAACATTGGTACCAAGCATCAAATAACCTTTTGGAACTAAAAGAACAAGACAGAATCAGTAGACAGGATGAAAATGCTTTGCAATCGATACTAAACTGTTCCCAAGAGCTGAGAATGGTTATAATTCGCCATGGCTTTGCTGATAGTGAAAACTATGCAAATCCACCAAAAAAGTTGATTCCCTGGATGCAAAATGAAGATGAAATATTTGCTGAAGATATTGGAAACCTTGCGCAGGCTTCCCTYGAGGATTCCGACTCTGATAATGATTCGTTTYTGTCTGCGTCGGAAACTGCTGCATTGGAGGTGTGTAGAGTCCACCAAAATCCAGTATCAACAACACACTGAAAGCCATTTTTTAAACTCATACTTGTCAAATCTTCCCTGTGATTTAGTCACACCCTGCTAACTGTAATAGCAATTCTGTTAATGATTTTGTTTTATTCAGTTTGATGACCTCATTGAAGAGAGGTTTATCAGAGAGTCTTCACAGCTAAAAATGTTCAGGCAAACAATTCTCAAAGCTGCTGACCAGCATAGGTAAACATGTAACACAACACTGTTATCTTTAAAATCATGGCTAATTGAAGGGCAGACTTGCTTCGAGTCTCTGTCACTCTCTTTATGGCTAGTTCAAGTTAACTAGTACTCAATTGTTTAAATTAATAGTCTTTGATTTCCACTGTGCTGACGTTTCTTAATTTTGTTATCATTGATCAAAGTCACCTAGATTTCTATGTGCGTGGATTGGAGCATTACGCAAGATATGAAATTGAATGCCGTAAGATGAGGACTGAYGTTGTTGGCTGTAAAAGTGACATGGAATTCCTGGCAAAAGTTGTATGCATAAGAGAGGCCTCAAAGGTACATTCATAAGTTGAAAAGTCAAAATAATTCAAGTATCTTTTGTTTGTACTTATATACACCTTCAGTTTACTGCTTATATGGCCATTTTTGTCCACAATAGATGGTAACACYGCTCAACTCAAATCTTTTATACTTTTAGCTAGCCTTCTCATCTCCTGACAACTGCACATGGTTYGCAGATAGTGGTCGATATTTATTATCATCAATAATTGAATCAAAGGGGAATGTAAGTGCATGAAGCAATGTTTTTAAAAATATAGTCTCTTAATGTACAATTTACTTTTGTTATTGAATATTATTATTTTTATATTATCCTGTTAGAACCCAGCAGACTTTGAAGCTGCATTTGATGAGTTGCTGCAGTACAGTGCAAAGCCTGATAATTGGAAACAAATTGAAGATGAATTGATTGGAAGAAGAGTAAGCCATGCATTTTTAATTTAAAACAAAAATCTCCAGTCTTCATATGGGTACAATGTAACTATAAAGACTATTTTCATAATATTTGTTAAGTTTAAGTTTATGATTTGTATTATTGTAGGTGCCAGCCATTTCATTCTACGATGTCCTGTTGGACTATGTACTGTTAGATGCCTTTGATGAYCTTGCTACTCCACCCTATTCTGTAGCTACTGCAATTCAAAACCGCTGGCTGTCAGCGAGCATCAAAGAAACGGTAAGTACAAAAGTTTGGTTATGTTTTCTTTGGATTGTGAAGGTCTATGTGGCATTATGATATATCTTAAGCTTACCTTTGTAGGCTCTCACTACTGCTATATGGGGAGTACTGAAAGCTAAGGCATCGTACCTTGAAGTAAGTAAACAGATGTTGATGATTTGTGAGCAACTTAGTGTATATGTGCAACCTATGTATCATTATTTCTTAACCTTTGTGAATTTACAGCCCTGCAATACGTATCCATGTTTTGCCCTTCTAGGGAACTGAATTACTGGATTTGTATGAAAAAAATGCAGTTTACAGCCAGGTTTTTAACTGCAAACATCTAAAGACTGGGACTACTATTTTCCAATTTACTTTAGCTTGGAAAACCTATGCTAAGTAACAATTGTTATTTTCCAGAACCAATATGGTTTTATGGCTCATTTCTATGTGGTATCCCAGTACACCATACCTGTACTTGCATGGGGTTTCCTGGGAACAGATGAAGATCTTAAAGAATTGTGTGAATTCTTTAAGGTAATAATAATTCAGTGGTGTTTTCTCAAGGAGGAAAAGAGATGCATATGGAGGGAGGAAATGTATTCAGTTAGGGGTGTCATCTCTCACAAATAAGACAGGGATCTCCACATTTTGGGCAGGAGGGGAGGGGGGGGGGAGTATGAACAAAATGGCAACTTTTCCGACAACATAATTAATCCTTTACCACCACCATTCAGTCTCACTTCAGGAGTAAACTTTGGATTGATTTGTTTCTAGGACCAAGTTCTTGGTTACATCAAAGATATCTTTAGCTTTGATGCTGCCGACTACTCTACAGTGGCTGGTTTATCAGATTCCATCATTCAGCTAGCAAAACTACGATATGATAATATCATGAAAAGATTGGAAAAATCTCTGCCACAGAATGGCAGTGAACAGGCCATGTCTGCTTAATGTATTTATTTAGACAGCTGCGAGGGAGATAGGTAAAAGGAGAGCTACCATTTAGTCATCCCATTGAGATAAATGAAAGTAATTTTAAAACGCTGTTTGCTTTCATAAGCAGAATATTACATGGTTACTTTGAGATATGGATTTTGTTTTTTATGCTCTTCYTTGAAGATAAAATCTTATGTCTGCATGACCCTATAATAACTTTAGAAAAAGAATAAGAAATTGTCAATATTTTAAAGTTTGTCTATAATATTTATAAAAGTAAATAAGATTTTTGGCGGAAGTATTAAAACTTTTTATCATAARATCACATTTCTGTGGAATGAAATAAAATTTCGAAAATGTGAATGCATTGATTTGATTCTTGGGCTTCCTGTGGTGACAAGTGCGTGACAAATAACGCGCCAAAACTATGTGACACTTGGAAATTTTTAAAAGATATAASGCTCATATGTCTATTTTTCCCGGAAATTTGTCCTGATTTGATGGAATAGTACAAATAATCTAATCTTTATAGAAATCTTTTATATTATTCAGTCGAAAGGCAGCGATGCGTGAAAATTTATGCAAATCATGTTGTGACGGCGGCACGTTGGAGGAAGCCTCGAACAAGAGTCTTGCACATCATTTTTGGCCAAATACTTCACAAAGGAGCGGTGGTTTTCAKTTTATTGGAACTAAAGCTTCAGCAACGATGAAAGAGTTCTACTGCCTGTGTTTTTAGAATTAACAACGCGTTTCTGAAGAAAAAACGTTGTACAAACAGTCAACAGTYGAAAACAACATGGCTGAAAGTGAAGTTCAACAACCGACACGATACTTCAATYTTGTGATTGAATACAAGAACAACGTTGTAGAGTTTTATATAAGGCAAAGAGAAAGAACTTCAATAGTCATGGGGAAGATTTATGAGTTTCTTAGTCCTGTTATTAACTTTTTTGCATTTTTTCACACATTGTTTTGCAGTGTCATTTTTGGAGTTAAGCAAGTCTTTGCAACGATCGACTCAACTGTTTCATGCATTGTGCACTTCCATTACAAGGAATTCTTCATTTCACTATCTCAAAGACCTAAAGAATACTGYTCAAAAGCCAAKACCAGGCTCTATCAAGTCATYTGTATTCCTCTCAGGCGAAAATTTATCAAAATAAAAAGGCTTGCTAGGAAAAGGTTTCTTGACGCTAGAGTCTACTTTCGCGGTTTCCGAGAAATATGTMGAAGACTTTTTCTCCTGGCAAGTGATTTTACTCCTGGAGGGCAATGGACAGTCTCAATAGTTCTTCTAATAGCTGCAATATTCATCGCAATTCAGGTTTACCGCTATTCAAGACTTTTGTTTCARCTTCTTGATCTATTACTCTCCTTGATCAACTTTGTACTCACYCCAGTAATGTGGACTCTTCAAGACTTGTTAAAATTAGCTRGTTTKGGGCTTGATTTGGTGCTATCTTTGCTTAAATATATCTGTTATCTGCTATGGCTTTTCTTYGGAGGTGTTTTTGACTTCATTYTCAGAGTTTTTGCTKCATTTTCATCAGGAATCTACAGATCTTTTCTATKGTTTCTTAATTTGAGAGCAGTTAAGTTCATATGGAGATGTATTCTGGAGTTGACATTGATTGGCCTTGAGTTTTTCGTTTTTAAAGTTCTTCCCTTCCTGGCAGTAATATCCACATACTTGATAAACTTTGGCACTGTCGTCAGTGGGTATTTCTATGACTACTTTGTGGATGTCTACGACGACAAGACTCATCAGGAATACTGGAGYAATACCAGAATATTTGCAGCAGTGTTGACAAGCTTATGTTTCTTGATAGCTTACAGATACCGTAAAAGGTTTTCTGTAAAGGCTCACTTGGATAAAGACACTGGAAGTTTGCTGYGCAGAAACATGCGCAAGACATTGAGAGGTGCAAATTCAGAGAAAGAAGATGATGAAGGTGAATGTCGACTATTGTCACAATGGTATATAGATTAGATATTTATAACTATTTTATCATCATTATCAATCATTGTCTCATCATCTTCATCATRAAGAAKATAAAAGAATCCGAGGTGATCATGGTATTATAGAGTTTATAGTARAAGCCAGTGTTGTCAGGGCAACACCGTTTGGACATRACTGSCTTAGTCTTGAATTCACAGCTGCCTGGACTGCCTGAGTTATGAAACCTGATTTTGAGCATTTTATTGTCATTTCTTCTTGCAGTTAATTTCAAAGTGAGCTCAACAGCTTATGTTTGCATGGACTTCTTGCRTGGAGAATGTGCCGAAGGTCGTCGCTGTAGCAACCATCACTGTCCCTGGCCGTACCATTGGCAGTATCGTGTTCCTGTACAAGGATGGCAAAGCTTTAATGCACAGGATGTTGATGTTATTGAGAAAMTATTCTGTGATCCTATGAACGAATTAGCAAAAACTAACGATATCAATCCTGATTTATCAGCGATCACGCGAAGGTAATTCCTGGTGACGTCATTCCTGGTTTTACTTTTCTATTCAACTAAAAAAATCTGTATTGATATGTATTGATAGCTGATCACTTTACAAAGTGTCAGATGAAAAATCCCTGAAATTGCAAGTGTTGTGATTGGCATCATGGTAACACAGGTAGCCCAAACTTTTTACATGATACCTCACAACCACAGGAACCCCATATTCTCAAAGTATTGTGGTAAGGAGGTTTAATTCAAAATATATTTGATTAATTATTCTTTTTTAAGGTCGCATGTGAAAACCAATAAATCAATAAAATTGGACTTCCAACACATGCGAATGGAGGTGAATTACCATCGTTTAGAAATACGACGACTGTCGACCGAATCTTCCGCGAAGACTTCCGACGAATTGGCGACGAATTGGGTATGGTATCGATTGACTGACGAAGGAAAATGGCCTCAGTACGGTAGTAAGGTACTAAAGAATTGGCTTTGATAATGATTCTTGCAGTATATTGTTCACTTTTTCGCGTCCGCTAAAGTATTTATCTCTGAAATCTGTTTCTCTGTTTACTTCATAGAAATAGCACAAAAACAATCAATATTGGAAATAATACCAAATAATCTTTTTTTGAAATTATAAAAAAATTTGAGAACTGTATTTCCCATGATGCTTTGTTTAAGGAAATGACGTCGTTTCAAAACCTCGTTCCCAGGACTATCTCGACGGATTGCTTTTCAAGATGGTCGTCGTCTTATAAGTCGGTCGAGAAGGCCTTGGGAACGAGATTGCTCTTTGCGCACGTTTAAAGTTCTTCCTATTTCACTTTAGGGCGAACCTAAGGAAAAAGATATCGAGCTAACCTACCTCAGCCGAGAAAGCTCGTACAACTACAAGGTACAAGGACAAGAATATCGCATCTACTTCTTCATGACGCCCATGTACGAAAGAAATATGAATCCTAGAGATTATAAAAGACGATTTGTACGTCGACGTCCGCTGTACAGAAGCCTCGAGGACTTGTAGCAACATTACCCTGTAGGATAGTAAGGTGTAGTGTAGTGTAGTGAATTGTGTTTTTTCTCTCTTTCTGTTGTAAGTACAGTATGGTGTAGTGTAGTTTCTTTTCTCTCGTAGTACAGTAAACCGTAGTGTTATGTAGGGTCTAAGTGTCATTAAACAGAAGCTTGGAGKGGACAGAATGGGGATAGGAAAGCGTAATAAAGTTTTCCCTGCTGTTCGGATTCGATTTGTTTTGTCTCGATGCTGCGACACCTATCCACCACCATCTTTCACCAGGTCTCATGCCTTCAYTTATTTCTCTTTTAAATTCGTTATGTGGTAGAGAGATCGCACTTAAACCGTGCAACTGTACAAAATCTAAGTAGTACTTATTTGTACTAAAAGTGGACCTGAAGCAAGAAGGTATTGAATACTTCATTTGTATCAATTAAATTAAATTTGCGTACAACATGCACGATTTACTAAATACAACTAAATAGCACTATTTAGTTTGTACACAGTTTCGCGGTTTAAGTGCGATMACTCTACATTTGTGAATGAATGACTGCTTTAGCCATGCACCCTTTYGGCCCCAACGTTTATAATAGTTCGTGATTTTGAGACCGGCGAAATGAATTCTGATGTAAAAATCGGGGTTTTTGTTCTCTCTGTTGTTTTTATTGTTGTTGTGATGTTGCTGCTGTTGTTAATGTTGTTACTCGCTGCTTTCGTTGATGCTGCTGTTGTGGTGATAGGTCATCTTATTATTGCAAACACCCAAGATGTAACTGTTACTCTGAACTTCATAAATGCTTAATCACCCCCACCTAAACACCGGGTACRTTTCTGTTCCACTTTTAGTCAATCAGTCATCACAAAATATCACRCTTAACCTTTATTTAGTAAAGACCTCTGTATRATCATRCTTGTCAAATCATTCAACAGTGGTTAGGGCTCTCCCGGACGGCCTAATAAGCTTTTTAAATGAGTACATTTGATTAATATGGGACCTTTGTGTACAGTGGTAAACTACTTTGATATTTGTGTGGTAATATCGGCCACCATGAAACAAAAACGTCTGACAATACAACAGCTTTCAAGAGTCACTTCCTACATTACGGTATAATAAGTAGAGGTGTGGCTTTGTACCCATTCCATCGTTAAGACTATTTTATGCCAGCCTGTACATGCTTTTGTATGAAAATTAGTTTACAATAGAAGGGTGGGGTGATGTGGGATTTTTTTGGCAGCCCTTCTAGAATCCCTGCGTCAAAAGCAACATCGGTGCCAAATTTGGTGATTTATTCCACTCTGTAACTATTTGAAAGGCTAAGCGACTGGACTAGTAACTAATAGGTCGCATGAAGGGCTTTGGTATTAGTTACTATAACTGATTTACTACGTAATGTTCACTTTACAATCTTTTAGACGTMGATAAGCTAAGCGCTTCCTGATATATTTGCAAATCTATCTTATTTTAGGAGCATAGCAACGCCAACAAAGAATAACTTCAAATAATTCCAAAACCTAACCCCAAAACAAACATAACTGATACATAATGGACAATTTAACATCGACCATATGTACTCGTAGCATGACATGACATCACCGCGGCCATATTGGCCATAAGCTTCTATTGTCATGTACACCAAAATGTTTGTTCCTTATTTTGAGTAGGCTTCGTCGTGTGTGAAGGAAATCCAAGAATATCCGGGCTTGCAAGCCATATTTCCCATGCAATATTTAAGCCTCGTTTTCTATAGTTGATAAAACTCCCTATTGTAGCCCTTTTGTTAGACTATTGTAGAAATTAATATTATATTATTTGATTTACATTGATATGATCCATGTGTCTATATAGTCTGGTTGGTTGGTTGGTTGAGTTCAGCACTAGCGATATCTAAAGKYCCSTTTATACACTCGTAATTTTTGCAGCGCGATTGTCGCGCGACAATCGCCACTTTGTTCTTTCGCACCTCAAATAGTACGTATAAAAAGTCCTTCGATTGTCGAAAATCGAAAATCGCCGCSWGTTTGCAGCTAAATKTCAAGCATGTTCGAAAGGCGACAATCGCGCTTCAAAAAACGCAAGTGTAAACGGAACTTAAGATTGCTTCTGTAAAAACATCACTTCGATTCTTTAAATATACAAAGCCAAAGGACAAGAAGAATAAAAGTCAAAACTTGATATATATACCAAGTCGAGTTTGTACACTAATCGTCTGAACATCTAGACGGGTGTATCCTTGATGACAACAGTGTTACCACCAGGGGGAAGGGGGTCTGGAAACTTGGTTCATAAGTCAAAATGGSCGATTTCTTCTTGACGTAACCTCATGACTTGATAGTCTCAARCAACTAATATCAGTTGCCTCTGTAGCAGTATATCCGACCCAACCGCCTATGATTTGGATTGGCGATGAGCGGGAAACTGCCGCTTGCGTAGTTTGGACGCGCGCGAGAGGGGGTGGGGGGAKGGTTTAGTTCATTGTCTATAACTTTTATTTTCTGGTTTGTCTGTGAAATTACTTCAGTTTTCCCTGTCAAATCATGCCGAAAAACTTTAAATCTATCTATTTTAGGATTCCTTGCGTGAGAAAGATGTCCATTGATATTTCATGATCAATTGTTCCTACGGGTAATGAAATCAATGTGGTTGAAATCGAATACTTGATCGAAATGAACCTGCACAACAACTGTTATCGTGTGTGAAAAGGTAAAGTAATCATAGAACAACTAATCAAGTGGTATTAATTGTAACAAAATGGAAGCTTTAATCTGCGACCAGCTTTGATGTAGGGTTTCCACACTTTGCGTTGTGGTTTTAAACGTCTGGAATATTT